TAAAGATCCATGGAATTCTCAAAAAAGAAATTCTGGTTGAACGTAACGTTAAAAGCATCATTGATGCTTTTGAACTTAATAAGGATCACAGTAATGATGATAATGTATCAACAGAAGGAATAATGGACCTTACTCCTAAAAGTCATTTCGTTCAGCAACTTCCTTTTCTTGAATCGTTAAATCAATATGATAAATTAATCCTGGATGAAACAACACAATGTTTTCGGTTGATTTTTTTGATTTTTTTTTTTCACAAGTAATGATAAATTAATTGTATGACAAGCGGTTTTTTCTAATATGCGATTTTTTTTTGATATTAAGAAATTAACTTATAATAGGTCAAATAATAGGACAAATGAAATAAAACGCTATTCTTAGCACTTCAAAGCGATATAAGAATATAAAATAAGTTGAAGATATCACACCAAAACGCAATAAAAGAACTTCAGTTTCAACTTGTATAGCGCCAAAACGTAGATCGTTACCGTGCTAAAAAGAACAAAATACCGGATTTACAAGCTCCTATACGAATTGTTACATCAGCTTCCATAAGGTAAATATTTAAATGGTTTAATACCTCTTTAAATACGTGAAATAGGAAAATGTCGGGTTGTTTATCATCAAATATTAATAATCGGATTAAACCTATAAGTAAACCTTTATCAAGATATGATATTGCAAGAGAGAAATTAAGACTTGAAAGTTTTCTTATGAAAAAGAATATGGTCAAATTAATGATAAAATTAAAGAATCAATTGATGAATTTAAAGGATGTCGTATTTTTATATATAGTCAACCTTGTACTGAAAAAGAATTTAACGGGTGAGTTTATTTTTTACGTTTGAAAACTTGTTAAATCAGTTGAATTGATTTGTTTAATCAAAATAGGAATTGAATTCTTTTGAATTTGTTGAAATTAATGGAATGAAAACGAAAAAGTATATAGTGTCTTATGGGAGGGTTTAATTGGTGATCTAATTTCTTATAAAAACGCAGAATTTTGTTGAATGAAATATTTTATGATAAAGATCAACGAGTTTAATGTTAGTAAATTTTTTTTTTTAAATGGTATATTGTTCTTAACATTTATTTATTAACGCGACATTACTCTATCTATTAATTCTTTTTTTTTTGTAATGAATTTCAATTATCACCAAAAAAAAAAAATCATATTTAGTAATATTTTGGAATGGACAGTTTTACCAATTCTGAATTCGTTTTGATTGCTTTGACGAATGTTGAACCGGTAGACTTATGAATAACCTTTATTATTTTGAAATCTCAGCTTGAAAATATTGATCTATTTGCAAGGAAGTTGTCGAATTTACTGCAAGTGAGCTATTTCACAAGATGCAAGAAATGCACTGTTTAGTGCAGGTAATTACTTTAAACTATTCGGAATGATACGATACAAGTAATAAAAATTAATATACTGCCTTTTTTTTTTATTTTTTTTATATTATTATAGATGAGTTCTTGAGACAAAAGTCAAAAAAAAAATTAGTACCGAGAAATAGTCGTAATATTATATAAAATGGTTATAGAGACTATAAGAAAAACAATACTCCTTGGAAGAAATATATTAGTAGAAGTTCACAAGTTAAAGTATTTTTTTTTTATTGAAGAAAAATGGAAAATTGGAAATCGAGTTCAAGATATAAGAAGATTTGTGAACTTAAAGGTATATCAAGCCTTACTGGCTGTCATCTTCAATGTTGATATTAGATTCTAGTAAAGATCTTGATTCTTTAGTTGATTTTAATGAAATCAAAAAGTGATGTTAGTTCAGTGTTGACTAATGATTTGTTTTTGAAGACTTGGTTGGATTAAAATTATTTATCACGTGATTCTTCGACTTCCAAAAAAAATTTGAAAAAAAATTTTTATATACCTTTTAAAAATAAAAATAAAATAAAAAGATTTAAAGTAATTAATTCTTATAATAAGAATTAGATATATTACAAAGTTTATATATAGGAATGTTATCAGTAAAAATCACATTTGCAGTTTAATTAGGATATATTGAAAATCAATTGTATTTGATTTAGAGCATAAAATAATACTGTAAAAATGAAGAATTACAGTTATTTTTAATATTTGATAAATTTTTTTAGATCCAGATATTTTTTCAGATATATTAAAAGATGTAAATCTTATTAATTCTGCAATAAATTGATTATCTGTGATTTATCAAAAACTTTTGGGTTTGAATTTGATAATTTTGAAAATGTTAATTTTACAATATTTTTCTAAAATTTCTAATAAAAGGTATTATTTTTTATAAAAATTATATTGATTTTAATTAAATATATAAAATATAGTAAAATTTTATTATTGTAATAAATATTTAGTTAAGAAAGTAGTTCAGACAAAAATAATTTTAGTGATGATATCAAACCTATTAAACCTATTGAATCTATTAATAAAATTCAACTTACTTATAAATTTTAGTTTATAAACCTATAGTATAATATTATCAAACTTTTAAGAAAATAAAATTTAATAAAATTTTTAGCAAGAATAATTAAGAATTTACTTTTAAAAAATTGATATTTTATTTAATTGTAAAGCTCATAAAATATCAAATCATTTTGTAAAAGAAGGTATAATATATTATTTTTATTTATTTATAATATTATTATTTTACATTTTTAAATTAATAAAGTTTAATTAATATTTTAGTATCTAAAAATATAAAACTTTATTTCTAATTAATCATTATATTAATAATGATTATACTTAAGTAAATAATTTTGAACTCACAAAAGTATAAATGAAAAAAAGTTACAAATAATACTATTAATAAGACATATAAATTTACTTGTTATTTAATAAAAATTATTTTTAGTAATTAAAATAATATAACATTAAAATATTCAACTTGGTTAAAGCTTTGAATAGTTTAGATTAATTCAAAATTTAAATTTAAATTGAATTTAATTCAGTTTTAAATTATAAAAAATTAATCTGAAAATTTTCAGTTCAATTCAGATTTTTTTTAGATTATAAATCTAATCTAACTGAAATATCTAAACTGAATTAAAAATTTTAATTAATTTCAGATGATTCATTTTAAATAAATAATAAAAAATTATTCAATTAAAATAATTAAATTATTATTTTAAATGAACAATAAAAAAATCATTTATTTAAATGATTAATATTATTGTTCTAAACAAATAATAAGAAAATCATTTATTTGAAAATGATAAATATTATTATTCTAAATAAATGATAATAGAATCATTTATTTGAAATGATTGAAATTATCATTTCAAAAGAATGATAAAAAAATTATTTAATTAGAATAATTAAATTATTATTTCAAATGAATAATATAAGAATCATTTGATTAGAATGATTAAATTATTATTTTAAATAAATAATATAAGAATTATTTAATTAGTATGTTTAAATTATTATTTTAAAAGAACGATAAGAGAATTATTTATTTAGAATAATTGATAATATCATTTTAAATAAATAATATAAGAATTGTTCTATTAGAACTATTAAATTATTGTTTTAAAAGAATAATAAGAAAATTGTTTATTTAGAATAATTGATATTATTATTTTAAATAAACAATAAGAAAATCATTAATTTAGAATAATTAAATTTATTATTTTAAATAAATGATAAGAAAATTACTTATTTGAAATAATTAAAATTATCATTAAATAATAAAAATTTCAAAATATAAAATTATCAAATAAATATTTTAACTATTTTCTTTTAGTAGAATATTTATACTAACTATTTTTTTTTAACTTTACAATTAAGCTTAACTAGCTTCGTCACTTACTTAGCCTTATTAAATTTTATTATATAATTTTATTACTTAGTTTTGATAGCTTTATAATTAACTTTATAAGTCAATTATTGTAACCTAACTTTACTAGTATTACATCTAAAATTGATATACAAAATGATTTTTTTTTTGTTTTTAAAGTGCGGCAATTTTGCATGATCTTTATTAATATTTATGAGATTACAAGAAAAACAAAATAAAATAGAAAATACAAAAATATCTATAAAC